AACAAGAAAAATACTTATTGAGACTTTTATTATCAAAAAAAATTTTTTTTTCTCCTAGACATATATAATAATAATGGAAAATTTAAATTTTGCATGTAAAATTTTGAATTACAAAATGAATGATATAAATTACATGTGTTTTTATTGTGTGTTTTTATGCAACTTAAAATGCTCCCGACTTTTGTCCGTAATGTACTTTTAAAACTTCACTATTTTTTTCAATTTTAATTGGATGAAAATTAAAATTAATTCTTTGAAATTTTTTTAATTGTACAGATTATAATGTATATGATTTAAGAAAAATTATAGTATACAGAAAAAAAGTAGTAATATAATGTTTTCGGTTTAGGTTTTGACTTTCGGTTAAGGTTTCGATTTTCGGATGAGATTTTGACTTTCGGTTTTTGAACCGAAACCGAAAATTTTACCGAAAGCGTTTCGGTAGCTTGAAATAGTTTCGGTAGACATTCCTAATATAAAGTAACATTGTTACAAAATTTTACGAATTTGTTTAAGAAGAATTCAGGATTTAATTTTTATTATTTGTTTGAAAATTTCAGAGAAAAGAGAAAACAGCCTTTGATTATCATAATTGAAGCAACATAGCAAAACCGTCATTTTTAATTTTTTTGATGTAACATTTTGATTTTACCTAATACTAATAGATTACTGTAGCAAGTTTTTAACTAATTAGTAAAAATGTCTTTTTATATCTTGCACAAAAACTAGTCTTGTCAGCAGTGTGTACTCTTGAATTAAAAAAAAAAATTATTATTATTTGTATTTTTAATTTAAATTGTGCACAAAAAAAATCAAAAAAGCTAAACATATATTTTCGTTCTTTGCTCATTTGTGCACGTGTTCACGTATGAGGTATGATAAAAACTTGAATATTGGGTTAATATTAACTCAATTCGGTAAATCACAATAAATTAATAATACCAAAATGGTTAGAATAAAGTGTTTATGTAATTAAAGCTAATCAAATTTGGTTGATCGTGGCTGCGTTTAATTTGATTTCTTGTGCGAGTATGCTGATTGTAAATCTACTTTATTGTTGATTCAAGTTACAAATACTAGCGCCAATGACAACAATAAATGTAATATTATTTTATTTTATTACCTGCAATTTTTTTATCATCATCAAAAATGTCGTCGATTCTATTCATCATCAGGTTGGTAAAAATCACCACAAAAGCTAATGAAACAGTATCTGGCGAGGTGGTGTTTTGGTTAAATGAGAGAATTTGGTTATTTAGAATTTAATTTCATGATATAATTAAAGGTTTGCGTATATTCGTTCGTGGAATCTTTTTTCTGATGCCAAAATTAAAAAGTAGGTTTTTTGCTGCAAGTAGTCAACCATTAATGATGAATTAATTATATCCTCTCTCGTGTTATCTATTAGTAGTTCGCCAAGCAATCAAACTCAACATACGGGTCGCGTTTACTTCGTTGAAAGCTTACGTCGAAAGTTCATTTCGTCAAAAATTATTTCATCCTTGAGCCAGAGACCAAACGGGTTAGATGTGAGGAGTATGGGAAGTTAGTTAAGAAATTAGGTGAGGAAAGCGAAGTTTGTGGCAAGTGTGAGGAGGAATTTGTTTAATGAAGTTTTTTTTTGTGACGAAATAATTTTCGACGAAATGAACATTCGACGAAACAAACATTCGACGAAATGAATAATACAAAAATTAACTCTTTTAAATTCGACCTTGCATTCTGTTTAGGTTCGGTAGATACAAGTCTTGGAGCAACCACAACATCAAGAACAGTAGATTGTAAAAGAAGCAAGTTGCATTCACGTCCAGAGACAATCTGATACTACCACTATATCAAGCACGAAATCAGTGTCCTTTGATTACCAAAACTTCATCTAATGGTGTTAATTGCCTTCTTTAATTTACGAAATAACCCATCGTTACCTTCCAAGAGGCTTTGTTACTTCTAGGAAACCATCCACAAACATTTTTTGCAATTACGTATATTATGGTTACGCTAACTATGCTAATTTGAATAATTGTAGTGTATATACTCACGTGTAGACATGGTTATCACAATCATTGTCTACAAAGATGCCAATCTAAATGTTTGATATCTTGGACTATCTTCAAATCGAAATCAAAACGCACTAAAAAAAGTATGACGAAAAGATTAAACGAAAATGAGTTTATCGAAAATATCGAAAATACAGATGATGATCCGGGTAATTGTATATCTTAAATTTGTTGTGTTTACAATCATTTCATTGACATTCATTATATTAAGGTTATTTTGATTATATCGAGAGATATGGTCAAGAGAAGAGTTAGGAAGAGAGTTATTCTTCAACCAAGTCGAAAACCAACCCTTTAAATACATTTTCGAGTAGTACAATTTAATTTATTAGACTATTTCAAAGGTTTGTCGCATGGTTGCTTCCAACTTCTTAAATTCGAACCATTTGTTAACGAAACAACTGTTAGTGAAGTGATTGTTGATAACATTGAATCAAACCAACATTTATTTTTACGTTATCAAATCCGTGCCTGTTCTTATTCCTCCACTCAAACAAATAATTGTTCACAACACAACGAACGCTATTTGGAATGTAATTGTTTTTATGTGTCAATTCTTAGTAATAGTAAACGTTCTGGTCTTGGGGCAGTTCTTGTTATAACAATTACGATTATAATTATGATTTACAAATTTGTAAGACTTTTCAGGGACCTTTATAAGAAAAAAATAAAAATAAGTTTTATTGAGATATACTAATACTGATACTGATACTAATACTAATACTAATATTAATACATATAAATATTGTTTTTATTATCGCTTTTATTTTTTTTGTAAATCCAAATCCAATTTAATAGTAACCCTGGCATAAATAAATGTTTGTGCCCATCTTTTTTGTATGTTTACATCATCTATATTATCCCGGATTATTCTTAACATCTTCTCTGGATCATTAACAGATATGATTTTTTCAAAAACTTCATACGGAGGAAACGGACTATCTTTTGTATTTGATAAATATGTTTTGTATTCTTCTTTCGTGATAAGTAGTGAAAAAAGGTCATCATCATTATTATCATCCATAATTATAAATGGTAATAAAGTTTTTCAACCTGCTTGGTTATTTTTAAAAGTTTTTAAACAATTCGTTGTGAATAATACAGTCAAGTTTGTATTAATTATTTGATAAAAACAATTCAATTGATTTATTAATAATATTAAATACAATACAATACGCTAAATTGCATATAACTACGTTAAACTAAATTTTATTAAATAATTATAATAATTATGAAACAGAAGAAACAGAAAATACGCGTTCGTTGTATTCAAATATATCTCACAGAAAGTGAATACAGAGATCATTTAGAATATCGACCCATTTTGCTAGGCAAACCCGCAATAGTAGGCAAACCCGCAAAAGAAGTAACGTTTCCTTCTTTTGAGGATTTTAAAGAGATTAAAGAAAAAATGAAATACAAGAATGACAAGCAATTGGAGATACTTGCATTGGATTTACTAAATAACAGCGCTAATCATTTCAAATTCCATTGTGTACTTATATCTTTCCCATTAGAAATAATCACGAATGCTTATAATGAGTATAATAATAATAACGAGTTATTAGATGAAGATATAGATGAAGATGAAGATGAAGATGAAGATGAAGACGAAGAATTAACAAAAAACTTTATGGATCTTGGTTTTACGTTTGGAAAAAATAAAAAAAATAGAAATGCAGTGGTTATCAAAAACAATTAAGATTTTGGGAGGAAGTATGAGTATAATATTTTCACCTCATGAGCATAATAATTAAATAAAAAAATTAGGAATAAATGTCATAATAATAAATATTTTATCACGATTATATTGTTTATGATTCATATAAATATATTTATGTTAAATAAACAAACTGATTTAAATTATACAAGCTATGGCATCTAGTATATACTTGTCGTCGGAATTCCCGAATTACGGCAAATTAGGCATTACTATTACTCAAAGCCATATTAATATGTTAAAATTTTTATTATGATTTTTTTTTTAATATAACAACTCTCTTTATTTTATTTTGATTAAAAATAAGAAAAGGCTATTTTAATTTTTGCGAGATAATTAGTAATTAAACTTGACTCTTTTTTTTGAACAGTAATGGTACAGGTTATTGTTTACAGCAATCAAAGATTCTAATTTATTTTTTGTTTCTTCAAATATTGCTTTATAATTATTAAGTTTATCCTGGAACCCTTCATTGTGTTCAGCCTTTATTACTTTATCAATTTCCAGTATGCACATTTCTATGCGAATAAAGTCAAACAAATTATTTAGTTCGTGGTAAGAGATCCAGTTTATATGGCTTTTAACCAATCTACATTTGAATGATGAACGTTGTTTCTATTATTATAATTGTTGTATCTTCTATTTTTTTCGTCGATTGAGAAATGTTTCAACGTTTTTTTTGTTCTTTCAGACAATTCTTTATAATCATCAAGCTTATTTTGTGATTTGGCTATTCCTGTTACTTTATCAATTTCCAATATACCGATTTTCATATCCAAATTGTCGCGCAAATTCTGTAATTTATGATAAGATATCCAATTTCTATGATCTTTATTACTTAACCAATCTACATTTGAATGATAAGCATTATCCCTGTTATCTTTGTAAATAATATCGTTACTATTGACAAATGTCATTCTTGGATAGATGTTTAATATTCTGTGCTCATGCTCAGTCTTTTTTTTTCATTCTTAATGAAATTATTGTATTGTGATAGAATCGGTATTAGTATTGTTTTTTTTTAAGTACTTGTGTATAATTAATATATAATAATAATACATCTTTAAATACATAAAAATTGGAAGTTTAAACCAAACCTTGATTTTCAAGAAAATAGGGGTTTAAATTGTTTTTTAGGTAATGTGCAGGCCCCATCCATTCATAATAATAATAATAATAACAATTTGGCACTTACATTACCAATAATATTAATATTAATTGGATAATTATTTTGGGGATGATGTATGTGAAATTGAAAATTAAGTGAAATTGAAATATTATGGAGTGGGGTGAAATTCTGATTGGCTAATTTGAATTTCACACATTTAAATTTGAATTTCACATATGTGAATTGCGAATTCACATAATTTCACTTTCACGTATAACAATGATAGAGATTTTAATTAATTGGGTCAATTTATTTGGTATATCAATAGTAAATTTACTCCTATATTATTTTTACAGAATAGTATATCAATAGTAAACTTTACTCCTATATTATTTTTACAGAATAATAATAAATAAGAAAAATAAATAATATTATCAAAATCCTAGTAAAATCTCAACATAGTATGAAGTATATTGAAAAGTTATAAACTAACACTCAAATACTACGTAACAAAAATCAAAATGTTTAAAGAATTATAATGAATCTAATAAATCCATTAACTCAACATACACGATTCCTCTTTCGCCGTTAAATCACGTCCATTTATTGTGATCCAAATCTTACAACTGGAGGGTAGGTACAATCAGTAACCTATTAGATCACACAAAAATCTTGAGTTTTGAAACATTCCTTCTGAAAGCCTAAAGTTTTGATTATACTCGTGAAATATGAATGATTTCAGAAAAAACTTTTGAAACTTTTGCAAAGCATTTTGGGGTTTTCAGTGGCACCTTTTGAAATGGTGACTGAGCTGACGATAGTTTGAGTGATGACTTGATTTCATTTTAACAACAAGTCAGTTTGTAATAGCAACTCAACAGAATAGATTATGTTTATTTATAATGATTTAACAAATTGAAAAGATTGTTTGTATAGATACTCAGAATTTTTATGACAAATTCGCCATCAAAGAACATTAAAAATAATACATTAATATTAAAAAGATGTTAATATATAAGGATCCATTTCCAATTTGTATCTTTTAATGGAAAGTAACACGATAATTATTCTACTGATTTGTTATATTAAATATCTCCTGTCGGGCAATGCTTGGTTTTTTATATATATCACCAACAATAAAATATGATGCAACTCCATCAAAATTACGGACCTCTACTAAACGTACCAATCTCAGAAAAAAAAACAACAGCCAAAATAATTAGATGATAGTAGACCATTTCATCTCTACTTAAACATACTTGAGACGAATTAAATTTTGTCACACAAAATATAAACACAAACATGGTTGTTTTATTATCACTATCTGGTTTTTTATATCACCAACAATAAAATATGATGCAACTCCATCAAAATTACGGACTTCTACTAAACATAACAATTAAGGAACTAAACAATTGAGTCTTTGAAATCTTAGAAGATATAGATCGCTGGCAGCCAATATTGGTCAGCGATTTTTTATTATGACGATGAGCAGAAAAATGTAGCCAAAATATTAATGATAAATATTCGTTGTTTTATTATCACTATCACTATTATCACTATTATCACTATTAATATATACAGTATTCTATTATTATTATTAATATACAGTATTCGTTTTATTATGCATTTATTATTATTATTATTATTAGTTTTATTGTGTTTTATTCAAATATTGAATAAAGTAGATAATAAATAACCTTATTCGAAAGAAATGGTCACCATCATTCATATATTATCATAATAAATAATTATATTCAAAATAATTACGAGTATCTGAAATAAATTACTATTACGAGTATACTCATAAAAAATTTTATTTTATTTTCGGTTAGGAATTTTTATTGTGTAATCATATGTCTTTAATAAAACAAACATGACTTAGCTATTTAATCATTTCCTTGTATGTGAATGCCTCCATCCATCAAATATTCATGATGTTCATGATTATTATTCAATCCATTTGATGTTATAATTGACATAACAAACAATTGCATCACCCAGATAGTAATAACACCAAGGCAATGCATAAACAAAACTTTTAATAATGCGTGTCTACCCAGATCTCTGGGGTTCACAAATAAATTACTTTTCCTGATTATCAATTATGGTTGCTCATGAATAATAAATCTGATGTTGAACTACAGGCGTCAGATTTAATTAAAACTTTCCTGTCACAAACATGCAAATACCCTTTATAACCATGGGATTTTTTCCTAAGGGTAAAGTCCATTACAGTTGGAAGGCTTTGGACAAAAAATTCCCTTGTCTTCCTCTCAGATCAGGCTTGACTGTTACCATATGAGAGTTGGCGTTTATGATGCTTGCTTTGTGTTATCCCCCTCTAGAATAAAGTTGGTGTCTGCAACTCTGCAACTCAGGAGAACCCAAATGCAATTTCAGAGTTACCAACCCTGCTCTGAGTTTGTAACCTCCTGTGCTTGAAATTGAGTTGCAGATTCTCGTTGCTTTGATGTTTAGAGGTAGATCGTTGCAGGCGACTTTTCAGCCAGCATGGCAGCAGCCTTCTCTGGTCTGGGAAGATTAGTAAAAGTGTCATTGACAATTGGTGCAGTCTTGGTAAACTCCAGGGCCATGCGCCTCCCCCCTGGAATTTAATTGCATCATTGATCCATAGGGCGGAGCAGAGTCAGATTAGCCTTTGTACACGAGGAATACGTGAGAATGACTGTAAAGTGTTCAAGGTAGCGTGCGTGCTTCAACGTCTGTAATTTTCCGATAATCAAACATTGCATATTTGAATTGTTTCATATTGAAATGTTTCTTTTTCAATGGGGTGCTTCCTTGACATCTTGTAGTTAAATTATAGTAATATTAATGCTATTAATGATTACGAAAAGCAAAATAGATTCCAATTAAAATACTTATAAGCTAAAATATATATATCAATACAAATAAAAAATAGTATCTCTGGTTAGTTATTAACACGTCTTCTTTAAGAGACTCACGTTTTGTCATTGAAAATAATTGTTTTTCTAACACCAAGAAAAAAAAAATCAATTCGCATCAACAAAAAAAAATCTTTGTACAACACCAGGCAGGGTTGGCATTTTTAGGTGTCCAATTAATTTTTATTTGGATTTGTCCTGTCCAATTGTCTAAATGCCGCAGTAACTATTAGTCCAAATTACCCAATACAGTAAATTGGACACAAATTGGACAATCGGACAAGGGGTATTTGGACACTGACACCAGGTGCCAATAATAATAATTAATGACGCGTTTGTCGATCAAATAAAATTTTCTTTTTTTTAAAATATAACTAGAGTGACGACGAGTGGCGATAACCACCAATCCAACAATCAATAATCTCTAAAATCTCAAATTGGTATAGATCCTTCAAAATTACACAAACTAAACAACTATTACAACCTCTATTCCAATCTAACTTCAACCATACTTCACCTGTAATACTTGCAGCTGGATTCTCACAAAAAAACTTCAATCATCCTTCACATCATCTCCTACGATCTAATAACTTTCTATTATAAAAATGTGTGGCTTCATAATGTGCTTTGTTTAACTCATGGTTAAAACAACAACTTGAAAAATAAAGCAGCTAATCAATATAACCAATTAATCAGATAGCACAAATACCTTCAAGACCTCTTTCTAATTCTAATTCAGATTAGTTAATTTTGGAATTTATTTGTGGATTATTATTATTATTTTTACTCTATTCTAATAAAATTATAGTCTTTATTAAAAAAAAAAAAAATTATATATATATATAGTTATTAATTTGATGCCTCCTCCAATGATTCGCATCCAGAATCTACTATATAATAAGATCTGATTCTCCTTCTTTTTCTTGGAGGCACATTATCATCATCATTCTGTAATTATTTACGACAGCCCATTTAAGTAAAAGCATAAAAATCAACCAGCAAACAGAAATAACTAAAATACTTACATCATTATTATTATCATTATCATTAACACTCCCATTGTCTTCATCATCCCCATCATATCCACTCTCCCCCAGGCTCCGACTCATCTGAATCTTCCTTCTGATCCACCCTCAACAACAAACTTTCAATTTCGCCCAACTCATCTTCCAACTTTGAAAATCTGGCCTCATTATTTTCATATACATTGTTTAGTTTTTCTACATCCATTTCGTTAATCACCTCCAATATGCTTTTTAAAGCATGCACACACATCCTCTAATCTTATTCCAATAAAACACAAAATAAAAATCTTGAACTTTTTGATTGAATTGGAATATTCAACAAGAATATGATTTACTTACTACTCCTGACTTCCGATAACCCGGATCAGTACTAAATAAGTTAATATTAAAAAGCAATGAAAGTTATAATGATTAATTAAATGATTTTGATGCTTAAATGATTTCTGTATAGTTCTTTAGTAGTACTTACTTCTTTGCTCTTGATCTTCTGATTTTACATTGTTTGAAAAAAAAAAGATAATTATTATTAGTTAGCAGAATAATTATAAACTGAATTTCAATTGTATCTCAATTGTATCCCAATTTAGAGAAATGAAGATCATATGCTAATGAATTTTCAAGAAAAACTAAAGTAACGACAAGTGGCGGGCGATAACCACCACCACCATCCTTATTCTTAAAACACTTACTCGTATGTGTCTTTGGTTTCTGCTTCTCTGTTTCTTTTTTTAGTATTTTTGAATCTGTTTGGTGATGACATTTTTGAAAAGAAGTTTGTGATTTGATCGACGCATGCACATTAATTTATTGGTTTTTTTTTTGGTAGGACAGACGCGAATTGATTGATTTTCGGAAAAACAAAAAACAATTTATTTTTTGACAGAGTCCAAGGTGACAAAACGTGAGTGTTGTTGTTTGGTTTGGCTTGGGTCTCCTAAAGAATACGTGTTAATAACTAACCAGAGGTACTTTTTTTTATTTGTATTGATATGTATGAGGTGTCTTTTATTTTAGCTTATAAATATTTTAATTGGAATCAAAACGCAGAGCAGATCTTGCTAGGTAATTACAAGATTTTCATTGATAATATTTTGCTTTGCGTAATCAATAATAATAATACTATTATTATTATTATAATCACAAGATGTCAAGGTAGCATTGACTGTTGAAAAAGAAACAATTCAAATATGCGATGTTTGATTATCGGAAATTGGCAGGCGTTGAAGCACGCACGCTACCTTGAACACTTTACAGTCATTCTCACACGTTCCTCGTGTACATAAGGCTAATCTGACCTGCTCCCTCTGATGATATGATGATGCAACTGAACTTGAGGGGGAGGGGGCATGGCCCTGGAGCTACGCCAAGGCTGCATAAATCGTCAATGACATTTTCACTAATCTTCCCTGACCATAGAAGGCTGCTGGCACGCTGGCCGAAAAGTTGCCTGCAACGATCCCACCTCTGGGGTAAGGATGGCTCTGTGACCAAGTTACAACTCTGCTGATGAATTGTAGTGCCATGTAAATATTCAGATCCATCAAAGCAACAAGAATCTGCAACTTGTTTCAAGCACCAGGAGGTCGCAATTCAGAGCAGGGTTGGTGGCCCTGAAATTGCATTTGGGCTCTGATGTTAAGAGGAAAGTTGTAAAATAGTGTTTTCTTTGTATAATCATTTTCATAAATTCTCTGTTTCTCTGATACTAGTGTTGGTTTCCAAAACTAGAGAGTTTCGCAACTGTGTGAAAGTTAAAAGGTTTGCCATAAGTTGAAACTAGTTTTGATTTTTGACTATTGACTTTTGATTTAGTTTCAACATATAACTTTTAATTTTAGTTTGACTTTCATCTCTTCAAAATAGTTTAGGTAACCAACACTATCTGATACTATCCAATTTGTTAAGGGACTGTAATGGTTTTTTGTCCAATCAGCCCCTGTCCTGTAGTTTAAAATTATCACATGATTATATACATCTTTGTCAGCAATGTGGCCAATGAGCAAAAGTCATAAAATGGTTTGGATTTTGGTATGTTATAAATTAATCATTTTCATAAATGCTCTGTTTTTCTTTAATTTTTATTTGACCAACTGAACTTGTTATTTAAATGGGGTAGGATTGTTGGTGAGTAGGCATGCCATCAAAAAGACAACAACCAGGACTCAAAACTCCGAATTCAGGGAAAAATCAAAACAGCAACCCAGGTTGCAACCTCCCAAGTTGCAGAACTTTTGAACCAGATGCCAGTGCCAACTTTTATGCTAGTGTGGCAATAACTTGCAGCAATCATCACACAAATGTTGATATCCATCAGCAATCAATGCCTATATGGTGACAGCAAGCCTGGTCTGAGGGGAAGATAGGGAAAAGTTTTGTCCAAAGCCTTCCAACATGTTTTCACCTTACCTGTGGAAACAATTCCATGGTTATGAGGCGTGTGAAAGCATGTGTTGACTTGTTTGTGACAGGAAAGTTTTAATTAAATCTGACACCTGCAATCAACATCAGATTTATTATTCATGAGCAACCATAATTGATAATCAGGAAAAGTAATTTATTTTGTGAACCCCAGAGATCTGGGTAGTCATGCATTGTTAAGAGTTTTGTTTATGCATGGCCTTGGTATCATTACTACTTGAGTGATGCAATTGTTTGTTATGTCAATGATGATATCAAATGTATCACATAATAATCATGACCATCATGAATATTTGATGGAGTTGCATCATATTTTATTGTTGGTGATATAAAAAACCAGATAGTGATAATAAAACAACCATGTTTGTGTTTATATTTTGTGTGACAAAATTTAATTCGTCTCAAGTATGTTTAAGTAGAGATGAAATGGTCTACTATCATCTAATTATTTTGGCTGTTGTTTTTTTTTCTGAGATTGGTACGTTTAGTAGAGGTCCGTAATTTTGATGGAGTTGCATCATATTTTATTGTTGGTGATATATATAAAAAACCAAGCATTGCCCGACAGGAGATATTTAATATAACAAATCAGTAGAATAATTATCGTGTTACTTTCCATTAAAAGATACAAATTGGAAATGGATCCTTATATATTAACATCTTTTTAATATTAATGTATTATTTTTAATGTTCTTTGATGGCGAATTTGTCATAAAAATTCTGAGTATCTATACAAACAATCTTTTCAATTTGTTAAATCATTATAAATAAACATAATCTATTCTGTTGAGTTGCTATTACAAACTGACTTGTTGTTAAAATGAAATCAAGTCATCACTCAAACTATCGTCAGCTCAGTCACCATTTCAAAAGGTGCCACTGAAAACCCCAAAATGCTTTGCAAAAGTTTCAAAAGTTTTTTCTGAAATCATTCATATTTCACGAGTATAATCAAAACTTTAGGCTTTCAGAAGGAATGTTTCAAAACTCAAGATTTTTGTGTGATCTAATAGGTTACTGATTGTACCTACCCTCCAGTTGTAAGATTTGGATCACAATAAATGGACGTGATTTAACGGCGAAAGAGGAATCGTGTATGTTGAGTTAATGGATTTATTAGATTCATTATAATTCTTTAAACATTTTGATTTTTGTTACGTAGTATTTGAGTGTTAGTTTATAACTTTTCAATATACTTCATACTATGTTGAGATTTTACTAGGATTTTGATAATATTATTTATTTTTCTTATTTATTATTATTCTGTAAAAATAATATAGGAGTAAAGTTTACTATTGATATACTATTCTGTAAAAATAATATAGGAGTAAATTTACTATTGATATACCAAATAAATTGACCCAATTAATTAAAATCTCTATCATTGTTATACGTGAAAGTGAAATTATGTGAATTCGCAATTCACATATGTGAAATTCAAATTTAAATGTGTGAAATTCAAATTAGCCAATCAGAATTTCACCCCACTCCATAATATTTCAATTTCACTTAATTTTCAATTTCACATACATCATCCCCAAAATAATTATCCAATTAATATTAATATTATTGGTAATGTAAGTGCCAAATTGTTATTATTATTATTATTATGAATGGATGGGGCCTGCACATTACCTAAAAAACAATTTAAACCCCTATTTTCTTGAAAATCAAGGTTTGGTTTAAACTTCCAATTTTTATGTATTTAAAGATGTATTATTATTATATATTAATTATACACAAGTACTTAAAAAAAAACAATACTAATACCGATTCTATCACAATACAATAATTTCATTAAGAATGAAAAAAAAAGACTGAGCATGAGCACAGAATATTAAACATCTATCCAAGAATGACATTTGTCAATAGTAACGATATTATTTACAAAGATAACAGGGATAATGCTTATCATTCAAATGTAGATTGGTTAAGTAATAAAGATCATAGAAATTGGATATCTTATCATAAATTACAGAATTTGCGCGACAATTTGGATATGAAAATCGGTATATTGGAAATTGATAAAGTAACAGGAATAGCCAAATCACAAAATAAGCTTGATGATTATAAAGAATTGTCTGAAAGAACAAAAAAAACGTTGAAACATTTCTCAATCGACGAAAAAAATAGAAGATACAACAATTATAATAATAGAAACAACGTTCATCATTCAAATGTAGATTGGTTAAAAGCCATATAAACTGGATCTCTTACCACGAACTAAATAATTTGTTTGACTTTATTCGCATAGAAATGTGCATACTGGAAATTGATAAAGTAATAAAGGCTGAACACAATGAAGGGTTCCAGGATAAACTTAATAATTATAAAGCAATATTTGAAGAAACAAAAAATAAATTAGAATCTTTGATTGCTGTAAACAATAACCTGTACCATTACTGTTCAAAAAAAAGAGTCAAGTTTAATTACTAATTATCTCGCAAAAATTAAAATAGCCTTTTCTTATTTTTAATCAAAATAAAATAAAGAGAGTTGTTATATTAAAAAAAAAATCATAATAAAAATTTTAACATATTAATATGGCTTTGAGTAATAGTAATGCCTAATTTGCCGTAATTCGGGAATTCCGACGACAAGTATATACTAGATGCCATAGCTTGTATAATTTAAATCAGTTTGTTTATTTAACATAAATATATTTATATGAATCATAAACAATATAATCGTGATAAAATATTTATTATTATGACATTTATTCCTAATTTTTTTATTTAATTATTATGCTCATGAGGTGAAAATATTATACTCATACTTCCTCCCAAAATCTTAATTGTTTTTGATAACCACTGCATTTCTATTTTTTTTATTTTTTCCAAACGTAAAACCAAGATCCATAAAGTTTTTTGTTAATTCTTCGTCTTCATCTTCATCTTCATCTTCATCTTCATCTATATCTTCATCTAATAACTCGTTATTATTATTATACTCATTATAAGCATTCGTGATTATTTCTAATGGGAAAGATATAAGTACACAATGGAATTTGAAATGATTAGCGCTGTTATTTAGTAAATCCAATGCAAGTATCTCCAATTGCTTGTCATTCTTGTATTTCATTTTTTCTTTAATCTCTTTAAAATCCTCAAAAGAAGGAAACGTTACTTCTTTTGCGGGTTTGCCTACTATTGCGGGTTTGCCTAGCAAAATGGGTCGATATTCTAAATGATCTCTGTATTCACTTTCTGTGAGATATATTTGAATACAACGAACGCGTATTTTCTGTTTCTTCTGTTTCATAATTATTATAATTATTTAATAAAATTTAGTTTAACGTAGTTATATGCAATTTAGCGTATTGTATTGTATTTAATATTATTAATAAATCAATTGAATTGTTTTTATCAAATAATTAATACAAACTTGACTGTATTATTCACAACGAATTGTTTAAAAACTTTTAAAAATAACCAAGCAGGTTGAAAAACTTTATTACCATTTATAATTATGGATGATAATAATGATGATGACCTTTTTTCACTACTTATCACGAAAGAAGAATACAAAACATATTTATCAAATACAAAAGATAGTCCGTTTCCTCCGTATGAAGTTTTTGAAAAAATCATATCTGTTAATGATCCAGAGAAGATGTTAAGAATAATCCGGGATAATATAGATGATGTAAACATACAAAAAAGATGGGCACAAACATTTATTTATGCCAGGGTTACTATTAAATTGGATTTGGATTTACAAAAAAAATAAAAGCGATAATAAAAACAATATTTATATGTATTAATATTAGTATTAGTATTAGTATCAGTATCAGTATTAGTATATCTCAATAAAACTTATTTTTATTTTTTTCTTATAAAGGTCCCTGAAAAGTCTTACAAATTTGTAAATCATAATTATAATCGTAATTGTTATAACAAGAACTGCCCCAAGACCAGAACGTTTACTATTACTAAGAATTGACACATAAAAACAATTACATTCCAAATAGCGTTCGTTGTGTTGTGAACAATTATTTGTTTGAGTGGAGGAATAAGAACAGGCACGGATTTGATAACGTAAAAATAAATGTTGGTTTGATTCAATGTTATCAACAATCACTTCACTAACAGTTGTTTCGTTAACAAATGGTTCGAATTTAAGAAGTTGGAAGCAACCATGCGACAAACCTTTGAAATAGTCTAATAAATTAAAACATACTACTCGAAAATGTATTTAAAGGGTTGGTTTTCGACTTGGTTGAAGAATAACTCTCTTCCTAACTCTTCTCTTGACCATTTCTCTCGATATAATCAAAATAACCTTAATATAATGAATGTCAATGAAATGATTGTAAACACAACAAATTTAAGATATACAATTACCCGGATCATCATCTGTATTTTCGATATTTTCGATAAACTCATTTTCGTTTAATCTTTTCGTCATACTTTTTTTAGTGCGTTTTGATTTCGATTTGAAGATAGTCCAAGATATCAAACATTTAGATTGGCATCTTTGTAGACAATGATTGTGATAACCATGTCTACACGTGAGTATATACACTACAATTATTCAAATTAGCATAGTTAGCGTAACCATAATATACGTAATTGCAAAAAATGTTTGTGGATGGTTTCCTAGAAGTAACAAAGCCTCTTGGAAGGTAACGATGGGTTATTTCGTAAATTAAAGAAGGCAATTAACACCAATAGATGAAGTTTTGGTAATCAAAGGATACTGATTTCGTGCTTGATACAGTCAACCCCCTCTAAGTGCACCCCCCTCGGGAATGAATGTTAGCGTACACTTAGAGGGGGTGTGCACTTAGAGAAACAAAGCATTTCATTGGTTGCACGTGATACCAATAAGAATAAAAAAAATTTTTAAAATTTATTAACATATTTATTATAATTAATCAATTACAACATTATGTTATTATCACCAAAAAAAAAAAATTATATAATTATTGATTAAGATAAGATTCCATTGTACTTTGCCTCATTGTTTTTATTGTTTTTAAACTAATATATCTATCAAGAGAATTAACCATTTTTATTTGTTGACTAGAATTTTCTTGTTGTAATAAAAATGTGCAGACAATTTCCAAGCTTTTTGAAGCTTCACTAGTACTTATAAATACTTGCTCGACACTATCATCTTCTTCACCTTCTTCAAATTATTGGTATCTATTTCTGGTTGCTGTTTATACATTTCCACAAGAGCCTCAATAATATTATTATCATCAGGGACTTCATATACAGAATTTTCTTCTGGATTATTCAAATATTCTTGAATAGGTATTGCATCATTTAGATTGAGAGCAGCAACTGCCTGAGAAACTTGGTTTGTTGTTGGATCATTAATATCATCAGAGAAATTGGACAAATTAACATTAATTCGGTCTGGAAGAATTTTAGTATGATGCCAGCAATTATAAATGGTTTGTGATGACACTTCCTTCCAACTTTTAATAATAAATTTTATTGCCTGTAATACATCCATTTTTAAATTTTTTATATCATTTCCTGCTTCAACTTGATTTAGAATCCAGTTAATATGTAAATGGCGATAGTGTCTTTTAAAAGACATAATGATACCAGCATCCATTGGCTGGATTTTTGAAGTAGTGTTTGGGGAGAGAAAATGGACATCAACATTTGAAAGAACCAAACCATCTATTTTGTGACTTGGACAATTATCAGGAAGCAATAATACATGCTGGTCGCCATATTTTGAAGCAATCTCTCTGTTGAATCCTTGGAGCCAATCTTGAAAAACAGTAGATAACATCCAAGCCTTTGTATTGTGACAATATGTCATTGATAAGTTACTAAGGTCAACATTAATATTTATCATGAATAATGCATCAATATTCTACTATCTCATCATTTCAATAATTTAGAGAACATTCTTGTCTAATTGCAAACAATACATCTATCATCACTTATATCATTGATTATATTACAGCGTGTTCCAAAAAGAATGGCATGCATAATGCAAATTCATTTTGAAATAGAAAATTTTTTTTCACATGATCAAAATGATTGGATAACTTGTTTATGTGATAACCAATCCTTGTGTGTATTTACCACATTGTCTCTCTTTATTTTTTTGACATGCAAACTTTGTAAAAGATGGTTATTGCAAAATTAGAAGCACAATGTAAAGCAATTTTACATTTTTGGATGAATGGTATCCATTCATCAAAAAAAAAAATACATGAAATATCAAAAATACCATCCAAAGAAACTTAAAAAGATCAAAAGAGACAGGCACTATCAAATATAAAGGTGGCAGTGGTTGTCCATACAAGGTTACACGAACTTTTGCACATTCTATTGGGCAAATTATTCACCACAATAGTGCTGTTTCAACATGATAACTTGCAATAAAACTTCGAGAAATGCATATATAGTGCATCAATTTCACATCCTACTGTATGGAGACATATTAAAAAAAAAGATTATAAGAGTTCCGTGTACATTGGAACACCAATGTTAACAGCTCACCATGTTGAAACAAGAATGGAATGGGCACGATCTCATATGAATGATGATTGGAGCCATACAATTTTTACTGATGAAACAGCCTTTGACTTGTTTCATAATAAAATTCGTAGATGGCATAAAAATGGGCAAAGACCAATTTGGAGATTGCCAAAAGATCATCAAAAAGTAATGGCCTGGGGTGACATTTCATTAAAAGGCAAAACATCATTACTCTGCTTTATCAATATTATGGAGGACCTTATTATGTTAACATATTGGAGACTCAGCTTTTGCCTGCTGCACAGAGATTGTATGATAGAAACTGGCTTTTACAACAGGATAACAATCCAAAGCACATGTGTGTTGCAAAAACTTTTATTGATGAAAAGAGAATTCATGCAATGGACTGACAATTCAGCAGTCCCAACCTTAACCCATTGAGAACATGTGGTATATCATGAAAAATAATGTTGAAAAAAGAATGTCAACAAATTGAAGCGATTTATGGTTGAAGAAATTCCTCAGGAAACAGTCAAAAATATTATTATGTCTATAAAATGGAGATGCGAATTGGTCTTAGAAAAAAATGGGGATAGAATTTCTTATTAATTTTTTTTAATTTAATAAAGTATTCAATAGGCTTTTAAATGAGCATAATTTTATTTGTTTATCTTGCAGTATACAGTTTTTTGTGAGTGCCATTCTTTTTGAAACATACTTTATGTGAAGAAATACATTTGTATTCCTATTAAATTTTATTATGTTCAGAGATATATATAAAAGGGTTGATTTCACAACCTTTAATGTTTGAGATAAAAGATAAATAAATATTTTAAAAAATTTTAAATTTAAAAAATCATGTGAAATTTGATAACTCAGTTCTCTTGATAAGTCAATCGCTGGGGTCCACCCTGACAAGGCCAACTTATTGAGTTTACATATGTATTGCCACATTTAAGTCATGCACAAACTAATCTCCATTCTGCTCTATTAATTTCTGTCCTGCATATTTAATCATTTCATTTGATGGACCAGGAGCTTTATTGTTAGGTAAGCTCTCAACAAGTTTGAACCATTCTTCAAATGTAGGTGGTTACATTATGTATTTATACCATTTGTCATTGATAAAATTTAAAGGTTCATACTTTTTTTTCCAACTTTCATCTATTGTATTTCTTGATTTGGTGGAACCCCACCAAATTTTTTGAGAATGTTTGTTGACTTCATTTTTAATAATATTAGGATTGGTCAGAAGTTCTAAATCATCTTTTGTTTCAATCATTATTTTGTCCAAGATTATCTTACATTTGTTCTCGCAAGGCAATCATTGTCACTATAATTATTACCATTGCTCATGTTGCAAATAAGGACAATATCTTATAATAATAATTTCTAAAATTTTGATCTACAATCCATCAGCCTTTTAAAAAATCTATCAATCAATCTGAATATGTCAACTAATAATTTGCATTAAAAATCAAAATTATGCAAATGCATAAATCTGATGTCTCTAATACTACTACCATCGTTGTTATTATTATCATGGACAAGTATTATATATTAAATTTTTTTTTTTTTGGGCAAATACATGTTTTTTGCCATTCTAAGTAATGCATATAGACCCATCTCAACTAAGTGTCTATGCTACTGAATTCTTCATCAAAATTCCAGATGTAAACATGAATGTTAGGAGAAATTTATTTTTAGCTGGATTGTATCACTACTATTTTTAATTCAAATGTTTATATATATATATTGTGAGATAGTAATAGTAAATCTTGGACCTATCAATTACCTGGTTAATATTGGCCA